TTCCTGAGTAAACAGTAGCAGATGTTTTCATCCATCTTGCTTATTGCCATCCTTCATTATTAGTGATTTACCAAGAATTAGCAAAGCTTACGATATCACTGATGTGGCTGTAAGTATTCAGTGAATGAAGTGATTACCTTTGCAATCAGTGAGAAGTTTCAATCACCCTCCCTGTCCCTGGCCTGTGTTCTAGAATCTCTCTTGGCTTTGGGTGCCATAAAGAAGGTCATTTTATTACAACAGAGTTGTGCTATATAACTTGTAGCAAAATTTGATACCCAGGTCCTACCTTTATTAAAGATTACCATTTAGTTGTTTGGGGTCGTAGCTTTAGCATAGGAATTCTTAAAAGTTCCACAAGTGTTTCAAATTAGGCAGCAAAGTTTGAGGGCCTGCAGCCATATAATCTCACCAACTAGATTACAAAGTCCTTGAAGGAGATTATACAATAATCTTAAACTTCTATCTTCAACATAGCAGTCAACTGTGAATTTATTGGAATGCTCATTATATAAACATTTAATGGTCAAACGCTCGAAACATAAAGGAGTCAGTAATTAGTTGTTCAGACTAAACAAATATCAGGAAAGCTATGGTAAAGTGTAGATATTTCTAATCATTGTTGAGAATAAAAAGAATAATAATTGTGCAGTGTAGTAGGCATCCTCAGGAAGGGCTTCTTTAAAGAAAGAAGTAAAGAATCTTTGTTGAAAAGCAGCAGGGATTAGGAAGATGAGTTTGGGGATCCATGACTCATCAAGAGACCTCTGCTAGGACATGGAAAGTGTTTGTTACGTTCTGAGTCTTCTGTGTTGAAGCCAGTTAAGAGATATCCTAAACTGAGCGTTGGTTATGGTTCAATTCTGTTCAGATCTCCACTGAAAATCTTTCTTTTCTGTTTATAGTAGAAGTTGGAAACAGATGTATTTCCTCTTCAGAGAGACATGCAGATCTAAAACAGCTGGTGATGGCATGTTATCTTACACATCCTAAGTGTTCTATCCATAAGGGATGGTGATTCCAAGGCAGCAGTAATACAGAAAAGGGTTCCAGCTATCTCAGTGAAAAAGACCCCACAGGGATGGGGATGTGGCTCAAGCGGTAGCGCGCTCACCTGGCATGTATGTGGCCCGGGTTCGATCCTCAGCACCACATACAAAGAGAGATGTTGTGTCTGCCAAAAACTAAAAAAAAAAAAATATTAAAATATTCTTTTTCCTTTTTAAAAAAAAAAAAAAAGAAAAAGACCCCACAGCCAAGAACTGAACCACCTTATCCAAGTTAATTATTATATTAATAATGTTAATTATTACATTAATGTAGTACTAACTTTGTATAATATATAATTATAATTGATACAATAAAAAAGTATGGAATCCTATAAGCACACGAGGAGAGTGGAGTAGATGCATACGCTTTACTATATGTTTTGAAGCTAAGAGTAACAGGTAAAATACTGAAGTGATGAGGATTCAGATGGGCACAATTAAGGGAAGCATGTTTTCTCCCCTTAAGTACTTATGATCTATAAATGGCCCCTGAATTATGATGGTTTGACTTGTGATTCTTTGACTTTATGATGCACATGTGAGTGCAAATATATATACAGCCATTCTTTTTTATTTTTTTAAGAATTTAACTTTTATTTTATGTATTTGTTTTCATGTGGTGCTGAGGATCAAACCCAGTGCCTTACCCATGCTAGACAAGTGCTCTACCACTGATCTACAACCCTAGCCCTACATATAGCTATTCTGTTTTGGCTTTCAGAGCAGTATTCAGTAAATTAGTTATGAGATATTCAGCATTTTATTATAAAATAGGCTTTGTGTTAGACAGTTTTGCCCAGCTGTAAGCTAATGCATGTGTTCTGAGCATATTTAAGGTAGATGAGACTAAGCCAAGTTGTTCAGTAGGTTAAATGTGCTAATGCACTTTCAACTTAAGATATTTTAAGCTTATAGAGTTTATCAAGATGTAACCCTGTTGGGGCTGGGGATGTGGCTCAAGCTGTAGTGCGCTCGCCTGGCATGTGTGCGGCGCTGGGTTCGATCCTCAGCACCACATACAAATAAAGATGTTGTGTCCGCCGAAAACTAAAAAATAAATATTAAAAAATTATTTAAAAAAAAAAAAGATGTAACCGTGTTGTAGGTTGAGGAGCAACTGTAATTTAAGAGATCTAATACTATAGTATGGTATGAAATGTATTATTATAATACTCTGTGTGGCCTAGACTCAGCTATCTAGGAGTTGAGGAGAAATAAAGATTGGGTACAGTGGTCCAGATGTGATGGCCTTTAAGCCAGACCCTGTTGGAGCCAGATCACAGATCTTAAACTAGAGTTCCTTGATAGGCTTCAATGGTATTTATATGAATGGAGTCTTATACATAGGGAGATGTCTTATACATTATTTCATATTTGCAAAACACTTTCTGCTCCCTCAAAATGGTAAAAATCCCATTGTCTACACAAATTAGGTGACAGGGTTTAGGAATTTAGTACAGCACTTGTAGGGGACAATGAATAAACTCATCAAGATAAGGCTTCCCTCTTTTGTGGAACCTAGAATATGATGAAGACAAATTTGTGGTAGGAATAGAGAGGAAAGATTCGCCTTATCCCCACTCATGCTCTTCTAATACTAATATGCTGTGGCCTTTTAAATTTTAATATTTGCTTTCCTAGGAAAATATTAATGGGTTCCAGAAGGAATAATGTATTCTAAATATTGTATGACTTTGCCCTTTTGTTTTTAACTGAAGGAGTCAGATAATTAGAAATAGATTTTAAATGTAGCAGTACTTATTTTATAAAATTCAGCTGAGCCCTTATCTAATGGCCAGATGGCACCTTAGCATCATCTTTTCTGTTCTGAGATATTGATGGGGTGTAAGAGGGACTTATTAGAAGTGGAAAATTGAGTTCATTTATCAGTAGAACTAAGATCTTTATCAGTCTTTTATCTGCTGCATTTGGTTGTGAAGGGCTGTTTGTTAACATTCATTATTGATGATAGTCCCAGAAATGTTAGATGGTTTTATATTATCGATATAATACAAATAGAGCAAGAGTTCAAAGAAATGAAAACCCGTATGATTGTAGATGCAAAAGTCTCTCTTTTTGGTCCTAAGTACTTTAAAAAAAAACAAAAAACAGGGGATTATTGTTTCAAATTGTTTTCGCTTTTTTTTCATATGTGTGTGACACTGGGGATTGAACCCAGAAGTGCCCTACTATGCTATACTACTAGCCCTTTTTTGTTTTTTATTTTGAGACAGAATCTCACTAAAGTACCAAGACTAGCCTCGAACTTGGAACCTCCAGCCTCAGCAAGTCTCTCTTATTAATATGGGGTCTCACTATGTTGCCAGGTCAGCCCTGAACTCCTGGGCTCAAGTGATCCTCTTGAGTCAGTATGGAGAACAGGCTGTGCCCTGCTCAGAGTTGCTCTACAATGTATAGAATAGCAGTCCTCAGACTGTACCTAAACCTGACTGACTCCATTTTGTAAAGTTGTCGAACTCCATTTTGATTACAAGTGCCAAGACAGAATGTCTCTATACCTTGTTTGTGCAAGTAAACAACCACATCTGCCCAGTACAACCTTAGGCACAAATTGATAAATAATTTATACATATTAATCAAATTCAGTCATGGAGTATCTGGACATACAGACATCCCAAATCACATCAGAAACACCAGATTTAGGAGCTTATCAGCTTCATCAAATGCAACCCCCTCACCTAAGACCCATAAAAAGAGGAACTCCCTGAAACTGGCATAGCTAGCTCACAACACCCAGCCTGTGCCCAGCTAAAGACAGTATGAGTTTTTATAGGGTCTTTTTTTTTTTTTAATTTAGTTTTTTGAGTTTTAAAATCTTTGTTTTTGTGAATTATGCATTGGGGATGGAACCCCAGGCCTTGCACATTCTAGGCAAGTGCTGATAAACACTGATTAACACCCCAGAACCCTAGAGTAACTTTTAAATCAGAGCTCTGATTCTACTTTTGTAACTCAAAGACTTCAGTGCCCTACCATTGCTTATTGCTCAATGACCCTGTTTCTTAGCTATCATTCAGGTTTCTCTGTGGTCATGTTCTAACTGAGCTTTTCTATTTTTCCTGTAATTCATGCACTAATTAAACTCGGCTACTTGTTTTCTACTTTTTTCACGGGTCTGTGTCTTTGCTAGTATTGTATCTTCAGTTTGGCCTTTACTGTCAAAACCTTCCCCTGCTCCAGAGTCCAGTAAAACAGCTGAGTTCCTCCTTGAAGCTGTCATCCCCACATTCTCTCACCTCTACTAAAAGAACTCATTTTCCTATCTGAACTCTTAACTGGCACTTTGAATATGGCATAGCATTATTTTCATATCTACTAATTGATAAATCCCCTGAGTACAAGGTCATGCTTTTGTTTCCTCTGCTGTATAGCACTAATTATTGCATCATATATGTGTGAATTACACTGAATATACATGAACTTTTTTTTCTTTAGTTGTAGATGACATAATAATTTTAATTTTTTTAACTTTTTTTAGTTTGGAAGTGGTTGGAAACAATACCTTTATTTTATTTATTTATTTTTATGTGGTGCTGAGGATCAAACCCAGGGCCTTGCGTGTGCTAGACAAGCGCTCTACCGCTGAGCCACAATCCCAACCCATAATTTTATTTTTATTTATTGTGTGTGTGTGGTGCTGAGGATTGAACCCGGTGCTTCACATGGTGCTAGGCAAGCACTCTACCGCTGAGCCACAATCCCAGCTCTACATGAACTTTTGATATGTTAGGTTCAAGGCAGCTGGTCCAAGGATTGTCAAAAACTCTTGCTGTATATTGGCCTACAAATAAATGCATTCAATCCAGAAAACACACGGATCTAAACAAAAACATGTTTATTCCTGGAACTTCATTTAGGAGAAAATTTGTTTCCCAGTTTGACCTATTTTTACAATATTGACCATTCTTTATGTTGACTCTTCTTTTCTAGGGCACTGTCTTTAGTCTTGAGTCTGAGGAGGAAGAATACCCTGGTGTCATTGCAGAAGATAGCAATGACATTTATATCCTGCCTAGTGACAACTCCGGACAAGTCAGTCCCCCAGAGTCTCCAACTGTGACGACTTCTTGGCAGTCAGAGAGCCTACCTGTCTCACTGTCAGCTAGCCAGAGTTGGCACACAGAAAGCCTACCAGTGTCCCTAGGGCCCGAGTCCTGGCAGCAGATCGCAATGGATCCTGAAGAAGTCAAAAGCTTAGATAGCAATGGAGCTGGAGAAAAGAGTGAGAACAACTCTTCTAACTCTGACATTGTGCATGTGGAGAAAGAAGAGATACCTGAGGGTGTGGAAGCAGCAGCTGGGACTGCCTTGCCAGCCAGGGAGTTGCAAGAGGCATTCCCTGGAGCCCCTGCTCCCTGGCTTCCACACATTACTGCCTCTTCTTTGCTGGAGACGAGGGAACATGATGCAGAAATGATTGCAGTTGAGAAAGCCAGCCCTGCTCCATCACTGTTTGTAGAGCTTGATGAAGAAGAGGTTAGAGCAGCAGCCATGGAACCTAGTGAAGTGGAGGAGGGGGTGCCCTCTGCACTGCCAGTTGACAAGGAGATCCCTATAAGGAAGAGGAGTTTTAGTGAGGAATTATCCCCTGCTGCAGAAGGAAAGGCCCTACTCTCTTCCGAGGGCAAGTCTATGCTGCTATTTGGAGGGGCTGCTGTTGTCGCCATCCTGGCAGTGGCAGTTGGGGTTGCACTGGCTCTGAGAAAGAAGTAGCTGCTGCTTCAGAAGAGAAAGAAGACAAGAGGATCTAAAGTTGATTTGTCCTTGCTGGAATATGAACTGGCAACTGCCAATGGGACATTTGTGGAACACTCTGGGAGGATTGGAGGTGCCCACTCAACAAGGCAGCAATGGGATCCACCTGTTAGGGCTGGTCAGAGGATATTCACCTTGGTCTAATTGTCAGTTCCAAAGGGCCTTGGCTCATTCTAGGCTCATTCTAGATTCAGATTCTTATAAGAGTAAAGTATTCCCTCTAGAATAGGGTTTCTCTGCCTTGGCGCTGTGGACATTTCAAGAATTCCTTGTTGTAGGGGCCATCCTGTGCATGGTAGGATGGTCCGCAACATCCCAGCCCCCACCCACCAGATGTCAGGAGCACCCTATTCCCAGTGAGGACAACCCAGAATGTTTCTGACATTGCCAAATGTTCCCTGTGGGCAAAATCATCCCCCATTGAGGACTACTGCTTTAGAGGGAGAGGCTTTATTTAGAAAACTCTGGGGTAGAAATTTCTAGTGCAGAGGTCTTAGCTGTGGGCTCTACAGCTGTGGGCTTGTCAGCCATTCATCTCCTTGGAGTTTCATCTTTCCCAGTGGCCGTCCTGTATTCTACAGCTGTTCCTTTTAGGATCCCACCACCCAACACACAATTTCATCTTTTAATATGAGGGTGCTCTCCCCTCATCCCACAACCTCTCAGGTACCACACTGCTCCTTCTTTTCCCCATACTCGTTTTCATCCTGATCCTGAGAGCAAGGGCTCCTCTGGTGCCCTGGCCACCTCTGACAAACCCCTGAAGCTTCCTATAGCTTCTTGCAGCAATGCTGCCTTTAAGAACCTTTGAAAAAACACTTAGAAGAAAACATTATAGAGACCTTGGGTCCCCTAACTTGGGAATGCAGTGCTGGTAACTGGCTACTGGAGGATAGTCATTTAGCCAGGGATCACCCTGTTTCCCTATGGTGACTTGCCAGTAACACCTCTCATCAGATGCTGTCTGCCCTTGGGTTAGTATATTTTCCCCAGTATCTGGCCTCAGTCTTATCCAGCTCCACTATGGGTCTCTTGTGACATGGTGAAGATCATCACCCTTGGGCTTACAGAACCAATTGAGTCATATCTCCTATTAAACATACTATCATTGAAATAAATGATAAGTATCTTTTTATTACCTAATACTAAATATCACTGAAATAAAAAGTTGGAAAAGGAAGCTTGACTTTGAAGACTGAGGCTACAGTTGAGGTTCTAGTTTGTCCTTCAGAGATCAAGAGCAGAGGCTCTGCTAAAGTCCTCACAGCTCAAATGTCAGGGAAAGAAACCAGAAGGACCCAAAGCAATTTGTGCCAGTTGAGAATCAGCATCATTTTCAGGCTGATCCTGCCCCTAGAGGAGGGGTGGAACTGTGTTCTTTCATGCCTGAGGGCCACAGTGTCACTCTGCAGGGCATACATTCTGGTAAGAAGTCATCTCAGATCTATCTTAGTCAATGTAACAAATTACTTTTTAGATCGTGAAATTGATAATAAAATACTTTATCTACCATGATTACTAAGACCTGATGTTTTAAATGGGCTTTCTTTTTGAAATAAGATCTTCTTAAATATTTTTAGAAGTCGGTCAAGAAGAGATCCAGTGGAGCTGAGGTTGTGGCTCAGTGGTAGAGGGCTTGCCTAGCACATGTGAGGCACTGGGTTTCATCCTCAGCACCACATAAAGTTTTTTTTAAAAAAAGTTTCTATTAAAAACAAGATCCAAGCGTGTTTGTGTGACTTAACAGTGTCATCATGCATCATATCTTTTTTGTTTTGTTTTTGTAATGCTAGGGATCAAACCCAGGAAACTGAGCATGCTTGGCCTGCACTCTGCCACTGAGCTTTCCCCTGCCCCCAGCCCATGCACTGTTTCTTTATGTTCTGATTTTCAGCGTCCCATCTAAAGAGTTGTTTTTCTTAAGGATTTTGTTCACCTTAATTAACATAGCTGGAGGTGAGGAGGTGAAATAAGGTTGATGAAGTAAAGACCTATTTTTATCTGTGGGTTCTGACACTTGCATGGGATTATTCTGTATTACAATTGCTTTTTCACTTTATTATTTCATTTTATTTTACATTTTCATTATTGTGGATTGAACCTAGGGCCTTGAGCATGCTCGACAAGGGCTCTATCACCAAGCTACACCCAAGCCCCGCCTTGTTTTAAATTTTATGGTACTTTAAAAGAGGGTCTCGCCAAGCTGCCTAGGATGGCCTCAAACTTGTAATCCTTCTGCCTCAGCCTCACAAGTAGCTGGGATTACAAGCGAGTGACCCTGCACCTGGCTCTAATTGCTGTATTTACGGTGGCATAGGTTTAGATCAGAGAGTCCAGTGAGTTAGGACCTTGATTTCTGTTTTCTTTTCATACTAAAATGTGCATTCTTTTGTTCATTCTCATACCCATAGGCTGCTCTGGTTATGCACTGGCAGGATCCAGGTTCATTTCTGAGCTGCCAAGAGACAATGTATGGGTTAGGACATTTGGGTCTGCGCGCTCTGCAAAGGCAAGAATAAGGAAGAAGTGTGATATTGAACTGGCTACTCGCTGCCTTATTTGCCCAGCTGTTGAACATTAACCTAAAGTAATTTGGCCAAGTGTATTTTCTGGGTAAATACCCTTTTTTAGTTGCTAAGTAGTAGAATGTGTCGCTGTCCCTTTTCTTTCCTCACTTTCTGAACCTCTGCCTCTGGCAGTGGGAAGAAGTAACTATAATGAGGGATTCTTCTTGCTACAGCCCTTAGTTTTTGCTATTACATTTAAATTGTGTGTGTGTATACACACACACACACACACACACACACACACACACACATATATATATATATATATATATATATATATATATATATCTCAAATTCCTCTACCTCTTGGGGAGGGTGGTTTGATAGTATCAACCCATTCCTTCTTGTCCCCTGATACACATGACATCCAAGTCTAAGCTAAAAGAATGATCCAGAATACACCCAACTTCTTTAGGGGATGCAAATGTAGAACTGAATATCACCCTGTTTGTCATCCTTTGTTCTTTATGAACTACAGAGGAAAATTTTGTTAGTTTATGTAGAACATTTCTAGTCCCCCCAGTGTTGGAGATGGAACCCGGATCCTTGAGCATGCTGGACGAGTGCTCTTTCACTGTACTATGTCCCCAGTCCTCTATAGAACTCTTTTTTTTTTTCCTTTCAGTACTTGCAGGAAATGAAACCCACATGCTCAGTATACAATTCTTCTTAATTGATCTATTGAATGTAATGATTTCTGATTACTTGGCAAAAAACAACAACAACAAAAAAAAAAAAACAGTGAAGGTTTCCTGAGAAAAATGTCAGTATTAAAAAATGCCAACTCATCCTCTGTATTAATGTGCTAATTTTGGGCCCATAATAATCAGTACCTACCATGTGCCTTAGGAGGACTTTAGTGATCATTACTGCCCTCTAGAGAGTATTCTAGATAAAGAAATGCCACTGTCCACTTGGATCATGCATTCCCCACCTAAAGGTATCCTTGACTCTTCTTGTGTTCCTGTCCCATCTCCTATCAAATACAGCCACTACCTGGGTTTGTTGTGTGGGGTGGAAAGGGGAGGTAAACAATGAACCTGGAGATGTATTTTTGAACTGCAACTGCCACTAATTTTCTTAGCCTTTGTGCTAATTCCTTCCAATAATATAAAAGCAATGCATGCTCCTTGCCTTTTTTCCCTGAAGGTGTGATGTGTAGACATTTGATTTTTCTCATTTTAAGAGCTCTTTTGTAGAAATAAAAGTTTTTATAGGTGAGACATTGTATCCCTTCTTTTTCCTTTCTCTTGTCTTTTCACACAGACATCTCTTTCACAGAACTTGATGTGGTGATCATATTTGGCAAGCGGGCCAGAGGCCCTCTGATCAGTAATAGAATCAACTTTCAGCCTATGAATGAATCTCCTTTCCAACAAAATGCTCTATGCCAGAATAGAGATCTCCCTGCTGTCATCTGGGAAATCTGTGTGTTTAGGAGATGTGTTTTCCATATTAGAATGTCCTCTTCCTAAGGAGAAAAAAAAAAAATGTGTTTTTTGCAAATATTTTTGCAAATATTAGCTGCACCTTGGCAACACACCAGAGCTTATTCCTGGGCCTCGCCTACCTTCACACACTATCACAGGTCTAATGCCTATTCCTATGTCTGTGCTTCTACAGACTAAAGAACTCTAACCACAATTTTGTAATTTTCTTGAAGTCTTGTAGTATATAAGAGACAAGGCTACAATTTGACTTAATCTTGACACCATGTTTAGTGCTTCCTCCAAGTTCTTGCTGTTTGAGAAAGATAAGGTAATGTTCAGCACTTCTAATCACAGCTCATGTCTTCCTCCTTAGATGCTGAATGAGATGCCTTGTGGGTGCAGAAGAATTGTCAGTGCTGGTGACTTCTCTTTTGCTTTCTTGGTTAATGTGTTGGGTGGTTTTGCACGCAAGCAAGGCTAGGCAACCTGACATGGGGATCATCATCAAATGCTAAGGGAGCCAGGTGCAGGTGGCACCATGACACATTTTTCTCTCTTCCCCTTCCCCTAGTTTTTGGTCCTCTCTGTTCCTCCTTCCCTGCTGACCATATGCCTGTAGGTTTTGCTTGGCCTTTCCACACTCAGAGTTCACGACCAGGATTGACCCAGATCTTGTTCAGCTGACCCATGACTTCACACTGGTAAACCCTTCCCTTACCATCCATAGCACAATGTCAATTTTTGCCTTGCTAATAGAGCCCGACTCTATAGCAGGGAAGAGTGAAATTCAGTCGCTGTATTATAGTTATCTCCTTTATCAAGAGGACTCCATGGAAAGTTGGAAACTGTCGTGTTTCTAAAATATCAGTACATCCCATCTTCCCTTTAGCCCCCACCTGGCTTGTGTGTTTCCTGGTTCACTCCATTGGGGTCCTCTCCATGTTGATGTTTAATCCACAGGACGCCAACCAGACAGCGACTTCATTGTAGCTCAAGTGGGAGTTGTTCTCAGGGATATTTGCAAGGCCTTGTCATAAGTTCAGAGTAGCAGCTGCTCACCTCTTCCCACCTCTCCTGAGGGGGCCTTTTATAGTTACATTGCTCACCTCAGTGTGTGATCTTCATGCAACTAGGAAAAACTGAATGTACAATTTAAACAAAGGTATTGACACTTTAAGATTACTAGTTTGCTGCCTTTTTCCCCTTGAAAAAGAAAATGAAGTACATCTTCCTTGTAAATAATCTGGAATAAGTTGGATTATTACTGATGTTTTCTAGCAAGAGAACTGTATTATGCACATGAACCATTGCCTGGCACCAAAGGAAAGAAAAAATTTACTTCCTACCCTTGTATCTGCTGTTATAGTCTTCCATTTCTTTTTTCCTTCAAATTAAAGTGCCTCTTAATATCTGACTTGTTCTTTGATTGAGCTCAATTTATTATTGACTTTGATGCTCTCATTTCCCCCAAATGATGTAATTAAATTGTAATTTTGGTAATTAAGTTAACATGCATTTTACTTAAGCAGCAGGTATTTCCTTTTTCTGAATGAAGCTCCTTTAGCTCTGCTCATTACTGCTGTGGTTTGCCCAATTTATCATTGCAAATTGTTCTGGCTCTGTTTCCCTCCTGTTGCCTACCTTTTGGACAATCTAATCATCAGGGAAATATTCCAAAATTCAAGTCTGAATTTTGCTTTTCATCAGCAGCAATGTCTTGAGGAGAACATTTTGGAGGTGGCAAGAAAATGAGACTTGAAGATGAGCAACAATTTATCTTCCTATTCATATAGCAACCTCATGTGCTGACTTAAGGGGGATCATTTCAGAGCATTAGTCTTGTCATATTTATAAGTACACACCATTTTGTTTGATTTCCAGTTCTGCAAACCTAATCGTCATAAAGAAAGGACACCCCACGTTCTAGTTCCCAGTCAGCGAAAGCTAATGATGCTGCTAGAAAATGAACCCAGGTATGGGAGCTAAGGTCCTCTAAGGCAACCTTAGGTACCTCAGTAGGTGATGCTGGACCCTAAGAGCTGAGGTCAGGGAGGATCTGACCAACTGAGTGGCTGGACCTTGATGTGCCAAGCATCTTTTAGTGGAGGAAGCTTTTCATCTTTAGCAAAGGAGTTTCTGACACAACAAATATTTTGAAAACAAGGGGAAAATATTCTCTGAATTAAAGTCACCTCAGTTATATCCACACTATCAGTATGTTATCAGAACAAAACCCATTAACTACCAGGATCTAGTCACCTCAGTTATATCCACACTATCAGTATGTTATCAGAACAAAATCCATCAACTAACGGGATATGCCAAGTCCTAATGGCTAGAATGTGCTCAACATTGGAACCTTGTTTTTGATACAGTGGGGTCTTTTATGTTAGCTTGGGGAGAGGGGGTGATAACCTTGCTTTATACTCAAGAAAGCGTATCAGATGCAGAATGAAAAAATTGACACCAAGACCTTTATGAGCTGTATTAAATGGTGGCCAAGGATATTAATATAAGTGAAACAGTG